TTTCCTTCCCTCCTTTCCTCCCTCTCTCCCTCCCCCTCCCCTCTCTTTCTCTCTTTCTCTCTCTCCTCGCCACCCCCATTAAAGTATAACATACAACTGCAGCTCAGTGAATTCTCAAGAAGTAAATATACCCATGTAATTAGCATCCAAGTCTACAAACACAGCATTGTCAGTACCCCGGAACCCCAGAATCCTCTTCATGCTTCCTCTGGTTACTAACCTTCAGTCAAGGATAACAATGATTCTAGTCAGTTTTATTAAAGAAAAAATAACAAGGACAATAATTGAAGACATAGCCTGTGGAATGCCTTGTTGGCCATTTTCCATTGTCCTCTAAATTATTCTTTTGATGAACCTCTAAGATTCAGCTGAATGATAACTGGGAAAAGGAGGATATCATATTAACATCCCTTGGGGTGTTTATGTTATTCTCCTTAGTCTTTTCTCTGAATCAGAGGTTGCATCTGTGAATATTGAGAACTATTGCCCACAAACTTGGCAAGACTCACCACCCCCTCCATTCTAAGGCTAAGCCAGTTTCTGATGATCTCTAATCAAAACTAAGGCTTTGTACCTCCATCCAGGGATAAGACCTAGAATAAGTTCTCACCTTGGTTCCTAGGGTACTTGGGATTGGCCCAGCCACCCATGCCCAATAAAATGTTGTCTTTCTTCCTGTTACCTAGTACATTAGTCCAGTGCATATGAGTACCTTCTTGCCATGGTTTCCTTGAGCTCTCTGGTTGCTGTAGGGGGACTAGATCTCAGCCCACTTTGCTGGGACCCACACACCCCACCTGCATGCTTTTCTAGTCTAAAGAAACCAGAGCCTGGGTGGACAGCACTGTGCCTAGTCTGCAGGACCTCGTGGGAGGACTATGCCAGCCCTGATGAAGCCCAGGTACCTTTGATACTGCCCTTTCTCCCTGCTCAGTAAGGCCATCCTGCTACTGTTCTTAGCTTCCCCTACATCCCCTTAAGCCTGCCCGTGAGAGTCCAGCATTCCACTCAGGTTATGGCAAGATGCATCCACAGGGGAACAGTGATTTAAGTAATATGGCTTTTCCAAAGCGAAGTGAGGGAGAGGTCTGGTAAACATAAATCATCTCATCTCTTTTCTGTGGTTCATGTGAAAAACATGAGCATTATAAAATTGTGCTGCTAAATCAGCTCACTCCTCATTCACTAAAGTATACCTTATAGATCCCAAAAGTATACCTCAGTGAGCAGTAGGAACCACTTTTATAATAATGTAGCAACAAAAGCAACCACTAAGATTCGTATAATGCTTTGCAGGTTGGTCATCATCATCGTATTTGAGTTATTCCGTAAATGTACATACGTTTTAATTACCCTGCCAGCTGTGTTGAGATGGGAATTGTTGACACTCCTGTGTTCAGATAGAATTCCAGATAATTTCAGTGGCATTCAGGGAACTAGAATTGGAGTTGTTCCACTCAGGGAAAAAAAAAAATGTAATGTTGTTGGAATGAATATAATATTACAAATCATAACTGCTTGCCCTCTGTCTCTGCCAGTGTCAGGACAATTCAGTCTTAAACATGGTGAATATGGGTTACGTGTAAGGGAAGTATTTCTTGACCTGGATTTGATTGACATGAGTAGATGTGGCATTTCCATAATTCCTTTTTGTGAAAGACAGGACACTGCCTCCTTTTTCTTATATAGGTTTTTCATGGTCTTGCTGCTGATGCGAGGGTCTGCATTCTAGTGTGTCTCACGTTCCTGGGGGGCCATGAGCTGCAGTCTGTCCAGAAGTGTCAGGCTGTCTGAGCTCTCCTGAGGTCGTAAGTCATTTGGATTGATTTTTCAACCCTGGCTTTGATCTCACCAGATTTTATAACCTAGAGGAATAGTCTCAACCTATTACTCATTTATACTTAACAGATCAAAAACTGATCTTAAATGGCATTCAGTTAACTAAAATATTGGTTGCCCCTTGGTCCATTTGGCCTCTCAAAATGCTTCTGAAGATTGTGCAGATGAAGAAAAATGATGCTTCGTATCATACATGGTGCAAGAGAGATGTGTATAAAGTGTTTTCATGTGTTAGGAAAAGAAGGATTTATCAAGTATTGAAGGCTTTAGGCGTCAAGTCAATTTAGAAAGGCAGGAAGGCAAGGAGAGAGGAATGGGGGGAAGAGGAAAAGAGAGAAAAGAGAAAAAAGAAGGAAGGAAAGACAGCAAACAGGACATATGTGCTTTACAGTATGATGGAACTGGAGTTTGATCCTGACTCTGATACTAGCAATATTTCTCTTTGCCTCACTTTTTTCATCTATAAAATAGGTGCAATGCCACTTACTGTGTAAGGTTGCTCTGAGAATTAAATGAGAAAATGCACAGTGGCACACACATCGCAGACACTCAGCGAATGTCTCTCTTTACCACCACCACCATTTTTGGAGCATTACATTTAAAGGACTCTTATTTAAGGGACTTGAATCGTGATCATTTGGCTTTCTGTTTAAAATATGTCCTTTCTATTGGAGACATTGTCATGTATGTCAGCATTGCCCTTCAGGAAGAAGGCTGCCAGGTGTGGTGCCATGCCTGTCCTGTTTATGCAGATGCCTCAGGGCTCACCACGAACAACAACCATAAACAAGTGGTCCCCGAAAATAAAATTTGGCTTCCCTTCCATGTCACAGGCACCATGAGAGATAGGTTTGGATATATGGGGTCTGGTATCTCTGCATGGCAAAGAAAGGAAGGAAGGGGACTGGATCTGGGTAAGAGCCATGATGCTTGATGTCCTCAGGCTGGCCTGTCCCTGCTCCTTGTGTCCCCTTCCCAGGGTCTGATGTCCATGACATCTGGTTTCAGTACTTGAGACTTTGAACTTGTTAGGTTGTAGCCCCCAACAACCTATTACTTCCTCTGCTTTTTTTACATACAAACCTCTTCAGAAAATAGAAAATCAAAATGTTTCCTATTTCTAAAGCAGTGTTCAGGCCTTATCAAGTTGCTGTTGAACCCAAACAGACATTTTGAAGTCAAAAATCCAAACAGTCAGCTTACCAGGAGTCCCAGCTGTTGCAGAGTCACTCTGAAAACTAAGCTAGGGCCCCTTCCAACAAGGACATTCTCAGACTTTTATGTAACATTGATGCTTAGCAACTCTTAAAACTTGATTGTGCTTGAGTCATGAAAATCAGAATGAAGAGGCATTATTATGGTTGTGTGTTGCTTTCTGCCAGATAGCCTTCTCTGGGTAAATGCAGTTGCAAAGCAGACTGGAGAACAAGGCATATTCCTGAAAGCTGGTGCTTTGGGGGAAGTCCTGAGTTCCACCAGGATCATCCTGGACTCTGGCTAGAAGCGAGAAGGAAAGGTTTGATGGAAAGGACCATAAGGTGGGGACTGGGGTTCCTGGCATGTCCGTTTTTCAGACAAACCACATGTGTGAAGTGCGACATCACCACCTCAGGCCTCAGTTTCTTTGCTGTAAAATGAGACATTTAACTTACCTCGTCACTCAGGGCCAAGCTAGCTCAAATGAATGCCGGAAAAGTCTAGACAAAAGTTTCAAATGCGATTATAGACCCTTTGCTTCCAAAACCCTCGGGAAACCTCACAGGAAACATACCATGTTTTATTACACATTTCCATCTGCATACATTCCTAAAAACTTCTTTATGTACACTTTGAGAAAAATTCCATAACATCTCCCTCCTTCATTCCAACTTAACTTCGTGCCTTGCTCCTCTTCACGCTTCCACTCCCTTTCAACTGTCATTGCTTCTGATAGAAACATCCTAAATCACCTTTCCAGGGCAGTCAGGTTTAAATTGTGGAAGTTTAGCATTTGTCTCAGGCAGAAGGAAAAAGAAATAGTGTCCACTCCTCCAGAAAAAGCTGGCTGTTCACCACCCGTCCTCCCCTTTGTAGGCTTCTCCCTTCCCAAGATGGGGTGTTCTGAGGAGTAAGAAGATCTCCCTGCCTCCCCAGTACCCAGCAGCCGTGGGGAGGAGCCCACACTTGCCTGAGCCCTCTGGTCATGCCAGAAGTGCTCAGGACACAGACCTAAATGGGTGCCACTTCTGCAGTTTCTTGCATGGCCCCTCTCACAGGCTATTTCAATACATTTAAGTAGTCACAACATCAGTTAGCCTAAGCATTAAAGAATTTGTGAGCTTTGGAACTTGACATTTCATTTGGGGTGAGCTTTGTGAGCCGGGGAAGAAAACTCCGTTAGGATGAGCGCAGTCAGGGAGAAAGAAGCAAGTGGGGACAGGTGTGAGGATATAAAAGGTGGAGGTACACTGGAGGTACCAGGGGCCCAGGGGTCCCTCCTGGGAGCCATCAGAAGCCATCACCTCTATGGGCTGCTGTATAAAGTCGTATTTGGGTTTCCTCATCACGGTTAATCAAGTAGCTTCCGGGGTCACTGCCTGTCGTGAAGAGGAGATTCTTTTCCCCGCCGTGAAGCCTCATGATCCTAGGTGTTTGGTGTGCTAGAAGGGAGACTGTGGAGCATGAAGGCTTTATCCTGCTGAGAAGCCCTTTAAGCTGTGGGACAGGAGTGTAGTAGAAGAGCAAGCCGCGGCACCGGCCCTGCAGGTCTCTAAGATCTTGTTTCGTTTTCATACAACTGTTGTTAATTGGGGTTGTACATGATGATGATGATGATGATTCATCCTTTACCAAATAAGGCCAGGAAATGCTGAGATATGCAGAGCTAATTGGGTGGGTTAATTTGAGGATAAGATATTTCAGAGCCTTTAATGTACCAGCAGCAGACAGAAATTCTCTAGTGATTTGAGCTCTGAAACCGTTTTTCCTGCTGTTCTTTGAACGGATTTGGGCAACGCTAGGCCATTCTTGGTACCAAAATTAAATGTATTCCCAGCAGACTTGAGTAGTTCTTTATCTTGCCTGACAGAAAACCTAGAGATGGATACCCATCTTAACACAATTTAATTCATATTCTGTGCCTGTGCACCGTTTGGTGATTGTGTGGCTTTTTCCTCCTACAGAACATTGATATCACCAATTTCAGCAGCAGCTGGAGTGATGGCTTGGCCTTCTGTGCTCTCCTCCATACCTACCTGCCTGCTCACATCCCATACCAGGAGTTGAACAGTCAAGAGAAAGTAAGTCCCTGCCCAGTCACCCCTGGTTATCCTCTAACAGTGGTCCCCAACCTTTCTGGCACCAGGGACCAGCGCTCCTAAGAGAATTTAATGCCTGATGATCTGAGGTGGAGCTGACGTGGTGATGCCACTGGGGAGTGGCTGCGAATACAGATGAAGCTTTGCTCACTCGCCTGCCGCGCACTTCCTGTTGTGCAGCCCAGAGGTTGGGGACCCCTGCTCTAGAACACATAAGGAGAATTCCTCATTATATAAGTGTTTCTTGCCAAGCATCATGCAGAGTGATAAAGACAACAGTGAACAATATAGACGTGTTCTTTGCCCTTATGGGGTAGACAGGCTATCAACAAGTGAGCAAACCTATAAGTAATATTATAAATAAATAATGACAAACCGTAGAAGGGCAGTGAGAGAAACACAGCACTGTGAGAATGAACAGTGGGGAACCAAATTCAGATCTAGAAGGCTGAGAGGGTCTTGGCAATGAGGCGCTATTCAAGCTGACATCTGAAGAAGGAACATGAAGGAGCCAGCAATGCAATTAGCTGAAGGGAGCTTTCCAGGCTGGGGTGCGGCCAAAGCAAGAAAACACCTTGGTGCAGTCAAGGCAGTAGAGGCAGGTAAGCTGGCTGGAGCACAGTGACGAGGGAAACATGGCCTGTGATGATGCGATGGAGCCAGACAGAGGCCAGACCCTACAGGGTTTCCATGGATGATTCCAGTTAGAAGTTTGCATTTTGCTCCAAGCACAGTGAGAAGTCACTCTAGGAGTCTAAACAATGGAGAGACACTATTCATGTTTTTAAAAGATCTCTCTGGATGTTATATGGAAAAATGAATCAGAAAGGAAATAAGAATGAAAGAAGAGCTAACGGTTGGGAGGCTATTGCAGTAGGCAATGTGAGAGCTCTGTTTCTCTGGCTTCACCCATTAACTGGGACTAGGGTGGTAACAATGTAGACAGAAAGATCAAAAGAGATTCAAACTACATCTTACATATAGAATCAACTGGACTTAGTGACTGATTGGTTGTAGGGGAGGAGAAGAGGAAGACAGCCCCAGGTATCCAGCTTGATGGGACCATTTTATGAGATAGAGAAGGGATAGATAATGTTCGAAAGTTCTATTTTGATTATTGCACATTAAAATATAAAGTTCAAAGAATGGTGATGGCACTGACAATGAGAATAACTGAACAAAGTGATTTAATTTTTAAGTACATATTAGAGTTCTCCAGAGAAACAACCAATAGGATGTAGATATAGAGAGATTGACAAATCCAAGATTCTCAGGGCAGCTTGGCAGTCTGGAGACATAAGAAAGAGTCGATGCCACAGTTCAAGTCTGAAGGCAGTCTGCTGCCAGAATTCCCTCTTCCTGGGGACAGAGCAGTCATTTTTAAATTTAGGCCATCAATTGATTGGGTAAGGCCCACCCACATTGTAGAGGATAATTTGCTCTACCCAAAGTCTACCGACTTAAACATTAATCTCATCTTAAAAATATCTTCACAGAAACAGCTAGAATATTGTTTGGCCAAATAACTGGATACCGTGGCCTAGCCAAGTTGACACATAAAATTAACCTTCACAGACTATTAAAGTTTCAGAGCACTTTTATGTAGTGCTTTGTTTGTAGTCTGTGAAGCAGACTGGACAGGATTATTAAACATTTGGAAAACAACAAAGAAATTCCGTTTCAAATCATGTTAAGTCTGAGATGTCCAGAAGCGTGCAGGTGGGAATAGAGGGAACATACCTCAGCATAATAAAGGCCATATATGACAAACCCACAGCTAATATACTCAATGGTGAAAAGCTAAAAGCATATTCTTTAATATGAGCACAGTATTTCTCCATGAGCAATGTATAGATCCAGTGCAATCTCTATCAAAATATCAATGGCATTTTCTGCAGAACTACAACAAATAATCTTAAAAGTTTATATGGAAACACAAAAGACCCTGAATAGCCACAGCAGTCTTGAGAAAGAAGAACAAAGTTGAAGGTATCATGCTACCAGATACCAAACTATACTACAAGGCTATAGAAATCAAAACAGCATGGTACTGGCATGAAAACAGACATAGATTAGACACATAGATTGACCCACACCTATTTGGTCAATTAATCTATGAAAAAAGAGGCAAGAATATAGAATGAGGTAAAGACAGTTTCTTCAATAATGGTTTTGGGAAAACTGGACAGATACATGCAAAAAAAACCAAAATCACCATAGACAAAAATTAACTCAAAATGGATAAAAGATTTAAAAGTTAGGTCTCCTAGAAGAAAACAAAGGCAGTAAACTCTGACATTGCTCTTAGTAATGTTTTCCGGGCATATGTCTCCTCGGGCAAGAGAAACAAAAGAAAAAATAAATGGGACTACATCAAACAAAAAACGTTTTGCACAGCGAAGGAAACCATCAACAAAATGAAAAGACACCCTACTGACTGGGAGAAGATATTCATCATTGTTACTTCCAATAAGGGGCTAAATATCTAAATATGTAAAGAACTCATACAACTTAACACCAAAACAACAAAAAATCTGATTAAAAAATGAGCAAAGGACTTGAATATCCAGATGGCCAATAGACACATGAAAAGATGTTCAGCGTCACTAATCATCAGAGAAGTGTAAATTAAAAGCGCAACAAGATATCACCTCACATCTGTCAGAATGAACATCATCAATAAATCAGCAAACAACAAGGGTTGGCAAGGATGTGGAAAAGAGGACACCCTTGTGCGCTGTTGGTGGGGTTGCAACTTGGTGCTGCAACTATGGAAAACAGTATGGGGGTTCCTCAGAAAATTAAAAATAGAACTGCCTTATAACCCAGCAATTCTACTTCTGGGTATTTATTTTAAGATACCCAAAACACTAACTTGAAAAGATATATGCGCCCCTATGTTCGTTGCGGTGGTGTTTACAATAGCCAAGTTATGGAAACAACCTAAGTGCCCATCAGATGATTAGATAAAGAAGTGCTAGTACATATATACAATAGAATATTACTTGGCCATAAAAAAAGAATGAAATCTTACCATTTGCAACAACATGGATGGACCTAGAATATATTATGCTAAGTGAAAAAGGTCAGACAAAAATACCATATGATCTCACTTATATGTAGAATCTAAAGAACAAAATAAATGAACAAACAAAACAGAAACGGACTCATAGATACAAAGAACAAACTGATGGTTGTCAGATGGGAGGGGTGTTGGTGGGCTGGATGAAAAAGTGAAGGGATTAAGAAGTACAAATTGGTAGTTAGAAAATAGTCACAGAGGTATAAAGTACAGCATCATAGAGATTATAGTCAATAACTTTGTAACAACTATGTATAATGCCAGGTGGGCATCACACTAATTGGTAGGATCACTTCATAAATCATATAAATGTTTTATGCTATACACCTGAAACTAATATAAAATAATATTGAATGTCAACTTTAATTGAAACTTTTTCAATTTATATTCATTAAATATATTATAACAAAAGGTGCCCGTATGGCTCTAATATAGGAAATTACAAGGGTTTTAGGGGCTCTGTGCCAGGAACAGTAAACAAAGTCCACATAATAATTCTTATAAATCACAGTATCACAGAGGCATAGAGAGAAAGCCACGGAACAAGCCTTGAGGTCCAGTGCCTATTTAGGTAGAAGGGGATGAGCCAGCAAAGGGAAGCTGGGAAGGAGCAGCCAGGGAGAGGAGACACGTCGGGGCGGTATGGTGGCGGGGCTTCCACGCAGCCTGTGCACCTTGCCCTCACAGGCACATCTCGCATCCAGCAGTGACGTTGGCATCTGTTCTCTTCCTGCCCTCTTCATTTTTCATTCTCTGCCTTTTCCATGTGATGTTACAAAGATAATTGAGTAAACAGTGGGCATAAAGCAGTTTAAAATAATCAGAAGACCTTACTAAAACTATAATGATGTAAGTCTAAACACTTATACACACATTGTCTAAAACAGGTATCTTACTGAAATTGTGAAATGTTTGTCTACTGTTATACAAATACACCTGGGGCTCTTCGTCTGCAAATCAATAAGATCTGTTGGAAAAAAATGAGACTAAAAGTGTTTGCTTTCACACTTTGAATTCATGAGCCTGCTTTCTAATGACTGAATCTGTTTTGTCTCACCCTGGATGCCCAGTGATTCCCGCACACTGCGCACAACCAGCTGTCCAGTGCTACCTGCTACAGATAAGCATTCAGTAAAACAAACAGACGTCATAGTTTACTTACTTTCCATTGTCCTTATGGTACAGGGCCCCTATTTTCTACGTGTAGGGTAGCAGTTCTTCTCTGTAATCTGTAATACTGTCATCAGGGAGCACATACGTCAGAATGTGGAAGACTGTGGGTCTGTGAAGAGATGGAGTCAGCTTCAGATAGCTGGAATTTTCATTTTAAAGTCTATGTGGCTTCCCAGCCTCCTTGTCAGCTAGAGTGGGATTTGTGTCCTAGAGCCTAGGATTCTGTCTGCTGGTTGCTGCCTGCCCACCACTCTCCGAAAGAACGTCTTGCTTCCTACTTCCTAAATGCCTCCATGTCGATGCACTCTGCATGGAGTGGCAGTTTTCACCACTACCTGGTGTGTGACGAGCATGCTTGGGGAATGCTTATGATTATTTGGGTGAGAGAATCTTGTATGTATTAAAGTTACTGATGAGGGTTTTCAAAATGGTGTGTCAACACAGGCAAATCCAATCAACACAGTATGACCCTGAACACGTGCGAGAGTCAGCATGGCGGGTAATCAGACTCAAGGAAAGAGAGGGATAAAAGCAGGGAAGGTTTTCCCAAAAAAGGCATCTTTGAAGTTTAGTTTCAAAGGAAACAAAATAATTTGAATGAAACATACATCAAGATGAGTGAAGTCCAGTCATAGCCTAGAGCCTCGTTCTGCTGTGCAGTCAGTGTTGGGTGGTTTGGGAGGAGGTTTTAGTATACACATATATCAAAAAGGGCACCAAGAGAGGCCTAAGTTTGTAAAAACCTACTAAAAGCAAAATCTAAAAACTGTATGATTAGCCGTTGATAGCAATAGAAAGTTCAGAAATCATTAACTGTTCCTACCCAGGTGGACATAATTAAACCAAGTGAATTTGACATCTGTATTAAATAGGGAATTTCTGATAAAACTAACAAGGATTCCTTCTAAGATGTTAAAGAGATACAGAATTACAGGATGTGAGTTACAGTCAATGGAAGGTTTGGGCATTTTTTCAATAAAAAGCATATTTTTCTATCCTGTGAAACTTCCACTTATGCTAAACAGATTCAGATGATAGAATGAAGCGTGTTTATGTCACTGTCTGAAGTGAAATACTAATGTGAGAGGAGAAATTCTGGACTTGGGAGTCTTTCTCCCATCAGTTTCAGGTGAGATTACTAGCCAGGCCAGTGGTAGTGTTCTGCCATGTGTTGGGTCTTTCACTGTTCTGGAACTGGGGGTTTCCAGGCCTTCATTGTCCCTCAGTCAGGGCACAGACTGAAGCAGTGTTTCCTTCTCACCCCACCCCGGCCTCTGTGGGCACAGCTGCAGGTACGGGTAAAGTGAGGCTCTTCTGCCCTGGGCACACTCTCATTTGCTCCCTGTGATTGGTATCTTCTCACAGTGACTATGACATTGTTCTCATGAAAGAGAATTAGGATAATGATGCTGTGCTGCTGCCAAAATGAGTAAAACTCATTTTTGTTAACCAAAAATCACCTCTCTATAATGTTCCGTGTCATACTGTACACGATTTCAGAGTATTTTGAGACAGTTTTTCAGCTTGAGCCATTTCTTCTTTGTTGAGTATCTACTTAGAAAACACTGGCAGTGTCATTAGAATAAGGCTAGAGGGTCTTGGAGGAATTCTGTATAAAACCTTAGATTTAGAAATGCCTTTTCCTTAGACCTTACTAGTAATCAAAGAATACAAATTAAAACACAAATTATTTTTAGCCTGTCACATTTCGCAGACTTTTGAAAATCATAATATTCTATGCTAGTAAGGGCACAAGAAAATGGACCCTTACACATTATTACTAGAATTGGTATGACATTTTAGAAAGCAATTTGGCATTACATATCAAGTCATAAAAATGTTTGCGTCTTGGCTTCTGTAATGGTAGCCTAAAGACTGGCTTACAAACCGCACCCCTCTCCCCACACCCCCCCCAAAAAAAAGACTAACTAAAAGAGACTTTAAAAATAAGGACAAAGGCCTCATTAGCACCAAAGTAGGAGATCGCTGTCCAGTGTTTGAGCTAAATTAAAGGCAGCCAAGGGGCCACTGTACAGCTCCCTTCTCAAAAGAACAGAGAATAGTGTTGTGGAAACATGTGTAAGGTTTCCAGTCCATTCCCATTAATTTCCCTTAATCTGGAGGAAGAGGGTTGGTGGCTTGAGCAAGGTGACCACAGATCAACAGCTTTCCAAGGCCTCGACCACAGTCCAGAAGAAAATGTACATAGCCATGTCCTGGTGTTTTTCTGTGACCTGGTACCTAGAGCAAAGAGTTTGCTTCAGTGTCAGGGCAAATCCCCTTCATCTTCAGGCACCAGATGTGGAGGCAAAAGGACAAAGGGTAGAAGCCATGGGGAAAGAGAAAAATTTATAAAATAATGTATAAAATCTAAATACATAAAACTACAAAATTCTACTGAGGAACATAAAACATGAATGTGTACAGAAATACATCTCTCAATTATCCTTAATTTACCAACTTAATTAAATTTTGATGTAATCCTAATGACTTTCAAATGAATTATGGAGAGGAAGAGCCATGACCAAATGATTCTTAAATTCATCCAGATGGAGAAATATCAGAAAAACCGGAAAGAGTCTGAAAAGAAGCAACAAATTAGAGATAAATGATTGTGGAGCAGTACCTTTAAATTCTAAGGAAAATTGTTTTCAACCTGGATTTCTGGGTCCAACCAAATTATTAACCAACAGTGATGGTACAAAAGAGAAATTTTTATATGTGAATGCTTCCAGAAAATATATGTCTCCCACATCCTTTAAGAACAAACCTATGAAAGTACTCTAGTAGAACAGAGGTCACTATCCAGGAATTGATAGGAAGTTCTGAAGGTCTCTAGGGCTGAAGGATTTCATAGAGTAGTGATATGGTTGAGTCACAAAGAGGGAAATCCTTTTGAAAATACCTTCAATTGGCACAGCGTCATGACTGGAGCCATAGAGAAGGAAATGTAATCGTAGTAGGCTGCTGTGTAAATGCTGTTAATTGTTTTCAGTTTTTGGAATCATCCTATCAAGAGAGGGCAGACTTAAATGTGGTTACAGAAAAGGAAGCAAATATAATATAATAATTTAAAAGTAAAAATGGACAAGGTGGAGGAAAGGTGAGGGGAACGTCTTTCTTACCATACAAAATGGAGTCAGGAACTGCTGTCCATAATTGATAGAACAAGAAATGGAGATATATTATTTAAAATCATAAGCATAACTAATAAAAGAACTAAAATCAGCCAGATGGCAATAAGGAAGAGAAGAGAGAGGTGCATGATACCTGAGTCCTCACTTATTCTGGGGGGAAATTAATAAGTAAAGTTAGTAGGCAATGTTTTAGCGATCAGGAAACAGCAGTGTGAGCATATTACAGCGATATGGAGGTAATCACCAGAACAACTAAAGAGAGAAATTGAAAGTGGTTCTGCTAAGGAGCCAGGATTGGGAAAAGAAACGGTTTTTTCATTTGATTATATTTAATTATGTGCACATATTACTTTGATAAGTTTTTGCTATAGCACTGTGATTAAACAATGCTTGATAGCCAGCAGAAATGTATTTTGTAAATCTTGACAAAGTAAAAAATAACCAAACTAACAAATATTTATCTTTGATAGTTAGGAGTCAGTCGATAATGTCATTTTTAGTGACAACTGTAACCTGTTAATCCTCCCCCACCCCCCCGCCGCCTTAAATCGAGACCATCGTTTGCATATTTGACTTAAAATGTTAAGTGGTTTATAGATTATCTCTTTGGAAGTGTCAGTTGGTGTCCTTTCCTAACAAAAGCTATATATTTCAGTTGGTAATTCCCTCTCTTCGTCTTTTTAACTTAGAAAAGGAATCTCTTGTTGGCATTTGAAGCAGCTGAAAGTGTAGGCATCAAACCCAGCCTGGTAAGTATTACTGTTTTGTATTCTTTTCATACTTAAGTATAATTATATGAGAAAGAACTTTATCCCATTTTCTTTATGCCATAACAATTTGTTACAGAACATAGAAATCCATTTGCTGAGTATTTGTTACTCATGATCTCTAATATAAAATTATTGAGTTGGTCTGACTACATATGATTTAGAGTTTTTTCAGTTAAGATTCATTGTGGATATATTTCAGTTCTGGAAGCACAATGAACTGAATTATTATTAAAGCACTCTTATTCAAGTCATCTGGAACTCTGAGTAAAATGTCAATACATGGCTGAGCTCTGAAGAAAGAATGGGAACTAACCAGAAGTGTGAGGCAGGAGCCAAGACTGTGACAATCCCCAGGGATGGGTCTGGGGTTAGAGACAGAGGACTCATAATAATGGGTACCTAATGGGTATTATTTAATGCCCGCACAGGAACAAAGAGACAAGGCCCTGAGCTCCTATAAACAGAGCATTAGTACTGAGACCCCTGCACAAAACCAAGGCTCATAAAATTCTGCTCTTCTTAGTGAAAATAAAAAACTCCACCTACCAGTCCAGGGAGGTGGGTGATAAGGAAATTTGGTCTCCCCCTAGAATTTGTTTTGTGGCCAAGAAAAAGAGGAAATCTCCTGTAAGAAAAGAAAACAGCCAGATAAAATTTGGAGTCCAAATTTATGCTGCAAAGAGCCCCTAGTTTATACTATACCTGATGCAGGAAGCTCCTTAGCTAGCAGTACAGTGGCTGCTTAAAATATGCTCACAAGCCAAAATTCCAAAACACTTTAAAATGTAATCTATTCGAGCTTGTCAGCAGACACAACAAACCAGAGGAATACCTCCTAGAACTTAAGATAATAAAACAGTAATAAAGAGAGTACAAAAGACTATGTTTAAACATATTAAAGAAATAAAAGGAATAGAAATCATAAGGAAGAAACATAAAAAAATAGATTTAGAAATAGAATCAAATAAAACTTCTAGAAATGAAAATTCGGAATTAAAAACACCAGTTGGGTTGAAAAACTGATTAGATGCAGAGGAGGAGAGAACTACTGAACTATAAAATAGATCTAAGGAAACTACCCAGAACATAAGACGGAAACAGTAAAAAATGGAAAACATAATAGAGGGGCTTTATTAGTGCGTATTCAACTTTAAGAAATGGAAAACCCAGCTAAACAGTTGTTTAAACCATAAAGATGTTATTTTTTTAAATAGAAGTCCAGAAGTAGTTTCAGGATTTGTTCACTGCTCATTGTTATAATCAAGAACCCCAGTGTCTCTCCTCTATACTCCACCATCTTTAATCTACTGACTTTTTCTTTCCTATTTGGCTACTTGTTCTGTGGTCGAACATCCAGACATCACCCCCATCTGCAGGGCAGGAAGAAGGGGGATGAGACAGAGCAGGTGCCTCACATCTTTTCCCTTCGATAAAGAAATCAAAAGACTTCCCTGAGGCCTTTCAGCTCATCGTCAGTACTCTGTTACACGGTTACCCCAGCTGCAAGAGAATTTGAGAAAGTGAGCATGTAACATTTTCAGCCTCTTTAGTAGGAAACCTGCAAAAGAGAAAGAGGTTGGGAATGACTGTTGGGTTAACCAGCTGATAGTATTTATCACAGAGCTTAAGAATTTAAGAGACATGGAAGATAAAATCATGACTGTGTCCCATGTCAATTGGGAATTCCAGAAGAAGAGGGGGGAAAAATGGAAGAGACAATATTTGAAGAAATGGTGACTGCAATTTTTCCAAAATGATAAAAGACCACAAATTCTTAATAAATCTCAAACAGGATAAATAAAATATTCATTTAAATGTATCACAACAAAACTGCAGAAAAAGCAAAGACAGATAATCTACAAATAATTTCTACTAACCAATGATTAAAAAAAGACAACCTAATAGAAAATCATCAAAGGCTAAAATAGGCAACTCACAAATGGCCAGTGAACATTTTAAGATATTTAATCTCATTAGTGATCAGGAAAATTTAAGTTGAAATAACAGTGATACACATTTTCATAACCCTCAGAGGATATAGGGAATCTAAGAAATGAAAGAGTGGAAGAACAACTGTCATAGAAATTTCAGTACTATGAATGGTGTTATGCCAATATGTTTAAAATAGAATGGACAGTTTTCTAAAATATAAACATTTCTTCAAATATTAAAAGTAAATATTTTTCCAAAATTTATTCAAAAATAAATAGAACTTTAACTATTAAAGAAGTTGAATTCATTGTTTAAAATGTAGTCACACACACAGACAAAACCCAGTAAGCCCAAATTCTACTCAACCTTGAGGAAACAGATATTCCTATCATGTATATATAAGAATTTAAAAAGTAATGAAGGAACTTACACCTCTGGCCAGGATGGAGTAACAGGGACATGATTTAACTTCTCTTCTGAAATACTAAACAACAAGTAACAACAGATAATTTATGTAAGGAATCAAAGATACAATGAAAATTTGTTACAGGGTTATGTTATATACAAGAATACATTTTTCTTTGTTGTGTTACAGTTAATATTTGCTTCTTTTTAATTTAACGTTCTTTCCTAATTTTCATCTCATATATTTTAGCTGGGAAACAAATGAGATCATCTTGTTGAACTCCAGTTGTCAGAGTCAGCAATTTCATTTGTATAGATGTCTGTGAGGAGCTACTGACACATGTAATAATTAATCTCAAAAGCATTTAAGAATGTTTGTGAGCAATTTAACCAGTTTATGCCATCGACAAAATAGAAACTTCTTATATTATTAAACTTCCTTTTCAATATCTTGATGCAAATTGAAAAATAATATATTTAATTACACACGATACTTTTTAAAAGCATCCAATCAGAATTGGCATCCAAAGTAATCCCAAGTTTTTGATCAAATTCTATTGTTAAATTAGTCAGGAAAATATTGATTTATATGTATATATACACATAAATATTAGCAAGGATGAGATTTTTAAAAAATGAAAGCTCTACAATGTTCTCCAAATTTTAGCAAGCATGCCTCTTCAGCCACAATCTAGTAGAGCTTTAGCCCACCATGTGACAAATACAAGCAACCCCTCAAAGAAAGAGTAGGTGAGAGAGGGCATGTGGTATCATTGTTATTACTGTAAAAACAGCCAGAACATGTGTCCTCTGAGGGTTGATGTGTTTGTATCCTGGTGAGGGGGACACTCCCACACTGGGTCATATAGTCTGCGCTGGTGTCACTTACTGAGTACGCCAGTGTGTCTACCAGAACAGTACGACGCACACAGATTAAGTTCTTTAGGTCACCTGTGGAGGGAAGTGATTACAACTCAAGATTTTATGAGGATACAAAAATGATTCCTTAGCCTGCTCTATAGTATAAACTTTATATAGGTTACATAGAGTTAATTCAAGCTTAATCACATGAAAAACCTGGTTTTCATGTTTACTGTGTGCCAGGAATTGTCTGTGTATTCACTAATTGGACCCTCACAGAAATCCTGTGATTTCATAAAGATGCTCCGTAGAGGTGGGACACTGAGGCACATGAAGTTCAATAAAAAATGACACAGCTAATGAGTAGCAAAGGCAAGACATCAAGGCGGGCAGGCCAGCTCCAACACCAGTGCTCTTACCCACTCAGAAGTCCTGTATCCAGGACAGCCAAGCCCACCTCTGGGTTCTTAAAGCACAACTTACTCATAATACTGTATAATACATGCTGTGTTATGTTGGAATTTGTCTGATTACAGGGCTTATCCCCCACCTCCCTCACCAAGACCGGGAGCTCTCAAGGGCAAGAAGGCTTATCTCTCCCTTTTATTTCCAATTTTTTTTTATTGTAGTACAATACAAATAACATGACCTAAGTGTTTCTTGACCAATACCACGTCTTGATTAATATAGCTTTATAAATTGTAAAATTGAGTCTTCCGACTTTATTCTTTTCAGAATTGTTTTAACTGTTCTAATACCTTTGCCTTGATAAATTTTAGAATCAGTTTGTCGATGTCTACTAAAAAAGCTTGTTGGGATTTTGTTCGAGATTGTGCTGTAGCTATAGATCAGATTGGGAAGAATTGACATTTAACAATACTCAGTCTTCCAATCCATAATCATGGAGTACATCTTTATCATTTATATTTTTTATTTCTTTCATCAGTGGCTTGTAGTTTTCTGCGTACAGATCTTGCACAGATTTCTTAGATTTATGTTGTTGTTTTCATTCTCTTCTTCCCCCCTCCTCCACCTCCTGTTCTTTCACCATCTTCTTTCTTCCTTTTCTCCTTCTTCTTCCATTTTAAACGATTTGTTTGTTTGTTTGTTACAAATTCCAGTTGTTCATTGCTGGGTATACAGGAAAGCAATTGACTTTTGGATATTGACTTTGTATCTGAAACCTTGCTAAACTTGCATATTAGTTCCAAGAAGTTTTAGTGTAGACTCTTCGCAGTTTTCTGTGTACACAATCGTGTCATCAGTAAGTAAAGACAGTTCTATTTCTTTTTTTCCAACCTGTATGTCTTCTTTCTCTTGTCTTATTGACTAACTAGAAATTCAGGTACTGTGTTAAATAGGAGAGATGAGAGAGGACATCCTTGCCTTGTTTTTATTTTCCTCATCTTAGGGGAAATATTTTCAGTCTCTCACCATTAACTATGATGCCAACTTTTAGGTTTTGGTATATATCCTATATTAGGTAAAAGAAATTCCCTTCTATTCCTAGTTATTTTGGGGGGTGGGGGCGGGGAGATTAGGGTTTTTATCATGAACGGTTGTTGAATTTTGTGTAATGCTTTTTCTGCATCTGTTAATATAATCATATGTTTTTTTCTTATTTAGTCTGTTAATACAAATTACATTGATTGATTTGTGGATGTTGAACCAGCCTTGCATATCTAGGATGAACCTCACTTAATCATGATTCAAGTTGTTAATGTTTGTTGAGGATTTTTTGTGTCTGTGTTAATGTGAGAAATTGATCTGCAGTTTTCTTGTAATGTCTTTGTCTGGTTTTGGTATTAGGTTAATGCTGACTTCATAGAATGAACTAGGAAGTGTTCCTCCCTCTTCTACTTCCTGGAAGAGATTGCATAGAATTGGTACTATTTCTTCCTTAAGTATTTGGTATAATTGACCAACGAAATCATCTGGGCCTGTCGTTTTCTTTTTTGGAAGGTTTTTAGCTACTAAATCAAACAGTGTTATGCATTGTTAGACTTATATTAATGCAGCATATGCTCTCTTTTCCTGAAATATACTAAATTCTTTCTTCAGACATGTTCAAATACAGGTTGACAATGTACCAAAACATTTTTTATTTAATTCTTGTTAAGTTCAGGCATGTAAGATCGTCTAAGTAAAACGGTGACTATTGATTGCATTTCTGAATCCTCTCTGAGATGAAAGACACATTGTTCTATCACATAAAGTTTGCCATCTCTCTTGCATGTGTAGGCGTTCCTTAATTTCTCAGAGTTCATTCATCTCCTAAATAGTATGCTGAATTCTTGATTACTTCTTTTTTGTATTGTCATATTAACAACCCTCCTATTATAAGAATTTAAGCTTTTCATCCATCAGTCTGTGTGCACAGTCCTGACTACAGTATTTTAGGTAGAAAGAGACTTTTTATCCTTATATTCTGTGAAAACTTTTTCTTTCGAATTTTTTTAGGAATAGCTGTGTGGAATGTTCCACTTAATCCTTCTCCCCTCCTTTCCCAGAACCAACGATATGCTGATAATTTTTTAGTATTACCAGGGAGCAAAATCAATAAAATACGTTTAGATGTTGAAACAGAAGATAAATGGCTGGTTGCAGACCTCAGCTAGTTCCGTCCCCCCCAGGAACAGGTGTGCTGAATAAGATCGGCTTTATTTTTCTGATACATTTCTGTTTCTGGCTTTATATTATGGTCCTTGTCTGTTGTTCCCTTATGACCACAAAAGAATTCAAATTCAACCCCAAGTGAATTATTAAATATGTTAAGCAGCACAAATTTCAGGAAAGCTTTGCAGAGTGCTGTGCAGCTCTATAGGGTACTGGCCTCGTTGCCTGGCACTTCCTGGTTTCTACTTTCTGCTTACTTGTTGTCGACTAAATTTGAGGGAAGAGGATACCAAAAACATTGAATGATAACACCATTCTGATAAAACAAATGGTCACATTTTAAATTGGTCCAAGGCTTTTGTGGTCATCCCACTGTTGGGAATGTATCCTAAAACACTAATTCAACAGAAGGAAACGATACCACACATAGACACATTGCAAAGTCTGTAATATGAGGAAGTGAACACAAACTCCATGTTGAACACTAGGAGATGGTCATGTCAGTTATGGAACGGCCATTCCTTTGGACAATGTGCATCCACTGTCCAAGGGACACAGCCAGTGGCACAGTGCAACAGTATGGGAACCTGTGTACAAAAAACATCAAGTAAAAAAAGCACAAAGCACACAATATGTCTACCGTGATGGAAATATATGTGGGAAAACATAGGTGTACAATCAAGTGTAACTTAGAGAAGTAGAAATCCTTTTATTATAATGAAATTATAAGTGACTTTCTGTTTTCAAAACTTTTTTTTAATGCTGTCACGTTATTAAAAGATGAGCAGGGTAAGATGTCATGTCTGATATTTTTTTGAAAAGAATAGTATCTCCTGAATAAATAGGAAGAAAAAGCTTTTTTTTAACTAATCTCATTCACACCATCTCAGTATTGCCTACACCTTCCATGCCGTAGGTGGGGGGTTCCAAAGTAACACAAGCCTTGACCTGGATCTTAGCCCCTTTGTGGGAAAGGGGCTGTCTGTGACGTTTCCCCCGTGACCTCTCCCCTTCTCCTGCAGGAGCTCAGTGAGATGCTGTACACAGACCGGCCTGACTGGCAGAGTGTGATGCAGTACGTGGCCCAGATCTACAAGTACTTTGAGACGTAAACCTTGAGGGCCCAACAGCAGCCACTGCCACCTACGGTTTGTTGTGGAAGCACCTGGTCACTTTCCATAGGCTCTGTTCCGCCTGTCCACAACTCGGCCATCTGGATTTCAAAGGAAGATTCAATCCAAGGGGACCAGCACGCAAATAAGAAACAGAGCTGAGTTCAACCATGCACCCACCTTGAATCCAGACATATTTGGAGTGTACGTGGGAGAAGCTCGCTCCCCCAGGGACCTCCCTCCTTCCAGACCCAAGAGACCCCAGTCATACCGTGTGACTTCACACTAGAGCTGCACTGAGATTCACAATAAACAGCACTTCCAAATCAGTCATCTTTTTACTGAAAATCCTCTTTTGCCTTTATAAAACTTTGCCCTTGTTATTCCCCATACCCTTCCAAAAAAATTAAAAAATACCCAACAAAAGACAAACATTTCCTTTCAAGCAGGCTGGAAATGCATAAACTCTGCCTTTTTTGGGAAATATGCTTACATTCTAGGAAACAGTTTTAACACCTAGAACTTGATTACAGTTTTTAGATCTCACTTGTCACTCATTTGATTCTGTGGATGGAAGATAAAAGATGTGAGAATTAAGAGGAGTGGTCTGCTGCACTGTCCCTGTAGAATGGCCTACGGATGGAAGTGTGCGTTCTCCCAGGCGGCCGCGTGCTGGGACACGGGCACACACTAGGTGTCCTGTGTTCAGCCGGTCCCATACATGCTGAAAGTGAAGCCTCAGAAACTGCCTCCTCTGTCTGCCCTTGCATCTAGTCACACTCCCATTCACACCCACACATTTGTCCCATGTTCAGAACTCGACAGAAAGCCACTCATGTATAATGGCCTGTGCCCGCCAGGGTCTTCAGGAGTTTGCGCAGTGAAACAGGCTGAAGACATATATTTCTTGGGACAGCAAATTTAAACAACATTTCGACTTTATAGTTTTTAGTACTTCATCAGGCCTTTAATGTTTGATGGCAAAAGGAAGCCCTCAGGGATGGCAGAGATGGCTCTCTTTATAATTGAACAAAGGAAACTGCAATTTCTCTACCATCCTGCCGTCGCCGTAAGTGGCAGCAGAGCCTGCCTGGAGTGGCCTCAGAAGTTTTCTGTGTAGGTAATCACCTGGTGGCTCTTTGTTGGTGTTGTTGGGCAAATAAATGTGCATTATATTGCAAACAGGGTATGGGTCACATAGGTAAATCTGAGGTGAATTTCTCGGTGCCAGTCAGTCTTATATACGCACTCCGTGTTAGTGCCCCTCAGACAAAGCGTCATCCTTACCATAAGTTACCAAGAGTTGCAATACAGCTTACATTGCTTAAAGTAAATCTCTGACTGTTGGATGACTGTTCAGGGCCTTTGTTCACAGCTGGGGGCCTAAGGGCTGTGGGCCCAGCCCTTCCTGGGAGGCTGAGCTCAGCTCCTCCTTCCAGGCCACCTTTGTGGAGAAGGCATCTGGATTCAGCAGGCCCATCCATCCTCCTCCTCAGGCTGCCGCTGCTGCCCTGCTTATGGTTCTCCTCTGCAGCTCTAGATCAGAATCTTCTGGGGAGCTGGTTAAAAACACATCAGTTGAATCTAAGTATCTGGAACAGGACCAGGGAGATATGTATTGTCAAAGTTCCTGAGATCCACTGAGAGGAGAAAGCAGCCTTCATCAGCCTGCCGGGCCGTGTGGCAAGAGGGGGGAGGCCCTCTGGGCAGTTTGATGATGACAATTTCATAACCGGCCCTTTGTTTTCAAATGGAAGTTGTAGGCACAGTCTGAACAAATTCATCTTACTCCTTCCTGATGAGCATATACAAATGAAAGTTATTATTTGTGTTGCTTCCTGCATCTGTCTTGTTGACATACCTGATAGACTTTCATTTTTTTCCTATGCTTCTGCCTTGCTCACAATTATAGTGGGGAAGAGGAATATGCCAGGTAGTTGGGTCGGTATTATTGGTGGTTATGTCTAAGCTGGGATTACTACAAGGTTGTGTATGGGAGAGGCATTGAGGTCTTGGGATACCTGGAGGGGGTGTTTAGCATTATCAGTGCCCTGCTTTTGGTGGTTATTGTAAATAATTCAGCATGAGCTCTGAGTAAAGCAGTCTCTATGCAATGAGTCTGCTCCCTTCAGGTTAAAAAGGAAGGAAAGAAATGTCATGGGAAAAAAGGCCATGTGGCAATTTATTTTTATAGTTCAAGGAAGTTCCTCGACACCATTTTCTTTGCCAGTGGGCATGCATGGAGAGGAAGTGTGTCCTGTTCAGAGAAATAGGTGGTGTGAAGTCAGGCCCTCTAGCACCGCAGGGCCTGTGGGGGAAGCTGTGCCAACCCAGGCTGGGCCACTGAGTGGGGTTTTTAGATTCATTTTTAATTGGAGAACTCAGAGCACAAGGTGAATATGGAAAATAGAGAGAACAAGGTAGCGTCAGCAAATTGTATCAATCCCAGTTTTCTGTCCTGAGGTTTTCAGAGGCTACAATATTCATGTTTCTTCCCATCTTCCTTCAGCCAATACTGTCATTTAAGATTATATAGTTGTTCTGCAGATTATTTTTTTAAATGTATTATGTTTGTATAAAAGACATGTAAAATGCAAGACCTAGGAGAGTGGAGTTTTTAAAAGACATAAAGGAAAGTGCGTGGTTCTCTGCATTGTGAGTTGTTTTGTGGACTTGAACGTTAATTGATTGGTGATTCTGCCATGGCCCCTTGCCCACTGGATTAGTGTTCTGAGGAACCAGGCAAATTCATACTTATCTTGTCTTAGTCCCTTCTCACTTCAAAAACGACATTAGCCTTTGGTTTTCATTCTTCATTCTGTTGTTGTTTTATAGCTTTTATGGAAACCATCCAAAGTAGTTGCCGCAGGTGTTACACAAAATACACTTCCCAAAGTGATTAGCCGGCTGGCAATGATGAATGTGTGCAGTATTCTCTTCCCCACAGAAACATTGGTGGGATCCTCTCAATCCCCGCCCCTCCCACTTCCCCATTGAGGGGATGGCAGCCTTTTCACCAAGAGTGTGGAGAGAGAGGACTCAGGTGGGTAAATACAAACCCATTTGCCAAATCCAGCAGTAGTTCTTCCCGTTCCTAAGCTTGACTGCCATTTTGAGATGAACTACTGAGGACATGCAGTAAAAGATGTAACCTAGTAACCTTTTTAAAAGTATTTTTAATATATCAGTTGCCCAGGTTCACTGGGTATTTCACTTCTCTAACCCAGGTTAGAGTTTGGCTATAACATCATAAGTAGCTCACTAATTTTAACTACATTAGTTGAAGGCAGTTAATAGATCTGTAGCCTCATTTGTATACAGAGCACACCAGATTGTACCAAGCATTGTCAGGACTTAATGTGCCAACAGAGCTGTATTTAACTATTGACATGAAAGTGTATGATGTATGACTATGTAATATTTCTAATAAATATATTTTGTTTCTGTCTGATTATGAATTTTTTCCAGTGACATTTATTAATATTTTCTCAAAGTGCCAATTTACATTCATTCTAACTTCAAACCAGCGTCTTCATGTCCTTATTCCTTATTGGGCTGAGATCCCCACCGCAGCTACTGTTGGCTGACATTATTGGAAGTTACCAGAAAGGACTGGGGTTCTGACAGCTCCACTGCCTTCTCCCATTCACAACCCTCTTGCTGTGACTACAGTCTCTCCAGAAAATTACCCTTCAGGATGCTGCAGAGCTGTGCAGATGTGCATGGAACAGGCAGCACCCATACCACAGGCTTCCCCCATTCTGCGTGTGTACCTTGACTGAATGCTAACTGAGGTCCTGGAAGCCACATGCTAGGTGATATTAAGCAGAAGGGGATTATGCCACACTGAGGCAGAGTTAACATGAATTTTAACGGACAGGGGATGTAGGTGTCTTCTGACACCAGTATGTTGTATGTGCTGATTCATCGGGTGATGTGACTATTCGGGTATCACTTGGAGGCCGTATTCACTGGTGTCAGGCAACCAGCCCTTCCCACAAGAGAGGAGAAAGGAGGCCACCCATCCTAGAATCTTCCTCCTTCCAGGAAAGTTCCACTATCACTAGTCTTTTTCTACTAAGAGTTTCTCCATCTTCTCAGAGTGGCACAGTCTCTGGTAAGAGCTTAACACACACTGAACCAGGACAGCGGCCACTACTCACTTTCCTCTGTGGGCTGTCAGATGACGGAACTGCACTCAGGAGTTACCAGTTTTGTGCGCGTGCACACACATGCGTACACGCACACGCACAGGCTTTTGGCGAATGGCCAGCGTCTCTGCGCTTGCAAACTGATCCCTTCTACAGCTTCCTATTGTTCGGGGCCTATCATGGTGTTCCCTGATCCGTGGGCCTGGACCCCTCTGTGAATGAAGCACATCCCCAGACATTTATGCCATGTGTATGTTTATGGCCCATATGTATTGAATCAGGCATCAAGAAGGAGGTTCCCAATGGAGCCTGATGCACAATGAGTGCTCACTATGGCATCTGTTATGAGGTCTGTGGTCAGTGGTGCTCTGCTGCCACGGAAGATTGGGAATTCCAAGCCATGGGCCTTGGCCTGCCCCATGCTTCCCTGGCACACAGCCAGCTCTCCCTTCTCTAAGGACTATGGATGCTTCTGTCATCCTCATGCCACACACTTCACTCCCTGAAGGCAGAGCTACATATTTATTTGCTCACAATGCCTCAACCTTCTGCGTAATTGTTGCTGAATAAATCATTTTTGCTTGATTGGTGGAAACATCCGGCTACCACGAACTCTTATTCCAACTTGGAATTCCCCACTGAACTCAGGAACAGACGCCTCAGCATCCAGCTTGATCTCAGTGCTGAGATCTGTCTTGTAAACAGTTGTTTCCAGCATTTTCTAACTCGATGGTAAAAATCCCAGAAAGATCCCTGGGGAGAAGCTTGAAACCTGATCGCCTGACAATCTTCGTCATTTTTCCTTGCTTTGTTGACATTACTTTTCTGTCATCGTGAGTAAAATGACACAATACATTTCTGAGCAGAATCTCAGTCTCCCAAACTCTTCAAATGAGTTCAGTCTAACCTAACTCATCTGCCCTACCAAAACCTCAGTGAGATTTTTCTAGATTATGAAAAATAAGTCATAAAAGTTTTTGGCCTGGACATCTAGCAGGGTTGGCCAAGGAGCCTATCACCCCTCCCACTTATCCATCTGGGATATTATTTATACCAGTCTTTAAACCATATCATTATCCTTGTATCAGAAAAATGAAGCAAAACAGAAAATGGAACATGGGAAAGCCACAGCTTTCCTTTACTGTTGCATGTGACCTCAGGAGGCTTGGCCATCTTTTGAGAACTCATCCTAGATGACAATATCTAGCAGGATCAAGACAGAGTCTCAGACCTTCTCCAGCCAGTAGGACCTCACTGGGCTCTTCCAATTGCCAGGACCAGACCAAGGCAGGCTGTCCCAGGCATAGAGATGCTAGTAGTAGAGAAAGATGAGCCATACTCTGTCCTGAGGAGGCATTTCAAATTCACATTTAACTCTCACAAAGCCAACCACTTATGTTTGCAGGGAAAAAAAAAAAAGTACTACTATTGCCACCTGCCATTCCAGTCGATGATCTTGCGCCCCAGCATGAGGCAGACACGGGTTGGACTTGGATGTGTTATTCCCTCCAACTGCCTCTGTTCCTATGGGTCAATCATTGTCTTATGACACTGAAATCACACTCAAAACACGTGATTTAAGTGTTTGAGGCTATGTTTATTTGTTTGGGGTACAATAGGGCTCCTAACTGCAAACCAACTACTTCAACTGATACTCAACACATCCCTGGAGGAAAACTTGATTGTGTTTGGCTCATTTGAGAGACAATTTGTACATGTTCAAAGTGGTATTTTTTAAGGAGTTTTCAAGAGTAACTGATGAAGACATTTCCAACTTCCACACTGGTTTCAGATCCTAACTCCTTCAAGAGGCAACTCTCAAAGCTTAGGTTTGTTGGGGCCCAAGGGAGCACTGTTTCGGTGCCCCCTCCTCATGCTGAGATTGGGATCCTTCCTCTAGAGCTGCATCCTTAAATGCCTGTGCTATACTATTGTGTTACTCTCCTGTTAACACTGTAACAAATGACCACAAACTTAGTGGCCTGGAACAACACAAATGTATTATCTTACAATTCTGGGGTCAGAATTCCAACACTCATCTCATTGCATTAAAATCAAGGTGTTGGCAGGGTTGAATTCCTTTCTGGAGACTCTAGGAGTGAATCCCTTTCATTGACTTTGTCAGCTTCTTGAAGTCACCCTCTTTCCTTGGCTCATGGCTCCTTTCCTTCATCTTCAAAGCAGCACCATTGTATCTCCCTGGCCATTCGTATTTGTCTGTAGTCATGTCTCCCCATGGTTCTCTGCAGCTGGAAAGAATACTCTGGTTTAAAGACCCATGTAATTAGATAGGGCGTATCTGGGTAACCAGACTATTCTCCCCATCGCAAGGCCCATACCCTTAATTCCAGCTATAGAGTCCCTTTTTCTATGTAAGTTAACCTATTCAGAGATTCCAGAAACTACGGTGTGGACATCTTTGGGGGCCATTGTTCTACCTACCACAGTCATCTTTTCTATGTCCTCCCATTAACAATTAGTGGAATATTCCTATATTTCCTAGTTATAATTACCAAGTTGAAGAATCAGATTAGCCTGCCTTTGGGCCTCCCCGTCCTGCCTGTTTGGATACTGTTTTTCATACCAGACCATTTCACAGGTCACTAACCACCTTGGTCAGGTGTCTATCCCTGACCAGTCGGCAGAAGTGGGGTGCCACGTGATACAGCCACCCCACTCAAGAATAAGTCAAACCTCTTGCAGACTAGAGCTGTCTCCCTCCAAAGGCAATGATGACAGGGCAGGCCATGTCCTGGCATAATTTACGACATGGAACCAGGTTTCTCCTACACAAGCCTGACTTCACGGATAGAGCCTCGTGCTACTGTAGTTGGAACCCCAGTGTCAATGTGGGGCTGGCTGAGCAAGTCCCTGATTCAAAGGGACACCATTTACTAGGTAAATATTAGGCTGTTTTACAGGCAAGGAAACTGAAACACAGAAAGATTCAATAATTTGATCAAGATAACTCAGCTTGGAGAAGGCGAAGCAAGAATTGGAACCCAAGCAGTCAAGCAGCAAAGCCTGCACTTCTAGCCACCAATCGATACTTCACCATCTGCCACCTGTCACGGGAAGGAAGAGAGTGCTAGAGAGTATTGCTCCTCCCCAGGGCAATGCTATTTGATGCAGTTGCTGTGGTTTCTGATTTGAAAAATAAATAAATGTTCTTGTCTGGCGAAGATTAGCAATAAGTTCCCACGTCAAGACCTCAGATGCATCTTAGCCAAAGATGAGTTCGTGCATATGTTCCTTTTTCTAATGGCAAACTAAACAAAGTCACAAGATTTATGTTCAGAAAATCTGTGCTCAAAGGCAGGTCAAAAGCCTTTCCCAGAACCTACCTCCAATCCCCTCAGATTCTATCCCATTGGCCAAGATGGTGTCACATCTCCCCACCCAGCCATCCACAAAGGGAAACAGGGTAATCCATCATGATTTGTTTTGGGCAGAGGAGGGGGTCCACCCTCCCTGACACAGGGCACCCCACACCTGAACAAAATTGGAGTACTGGAGGGTGCTGAGTGGGTGATCATTGGTATCTGCCACAACATGCCAAAGTTACTGCGGTATTTCCCTCAAGAAGAAGGCATTCCTAGTGGGGACAATGATACCTTTCAGCATCTTCAGATTCCTAAGGGATGTGTCCTTTCAGGGTTTCCATGGAGCAGCCTTCCTGGGAGGAAGTAAGTGCAAGTAATAGGAAGAGCAGCCATGTCCGAGGGTTACCTGCCAGATATAGACCTAATCTACATAGGAAAGTCCCCTATAGCAGCGGTCCCCAACCTTTGTGGCACCAGAGACCAGAGCTCCTGTGAGAATCTAATGCCTGATGATCTGAGGTGATGCTGGCACTGGGGAGCTGCTGCAAATACAGATGAAGCTTTTCTGGCTCACCTCCTGCTGTGCAGCCCATTTTCTAACAGGCCACAGATCAGTACGGGTCCCAGCTTGGGGACTGGGGACCCTGCAGGGGTTGAGGACGCCTGCCCTAGAGTCTTCATCATGCCTGGAAAGTGGAAGTCACTTTCAGAGGCGCCCAGAGGGACCAAGTGTCCTGCTTCCCACAGCCTACATGGCCGACTGGTAATGATGCCAGGTCTACCTGGGGCCCATGGGTGGTCTGGGCCCCTTTGTCCTGCTGGGCCTGCTGGCCAGGCTAAAACAAACATCACAGTGGGCAGAAGCGAAACGCCCTGTCAGTGGTATGCAAGCACCAAGTGGGAAATGGCTCTTCCCAATAAGGGATCCCTGAGCCCCACGACAGCTGGAAGGGGATCTGGGGCAGCCTGCCCAGTCTGGCCCCC